CCAGACACCCCCCCTTTTATTCACTATTATTTACCTTTTATTTTATCTGTAATTGTTGCCTGATCCATAAAGGTCTGGGGAGGGTGGAGGGTACCAGAGCTTACATCTTCTGACAAAGGCGTGAGCCCCAGTACTGTCGCTGGGCTGCAGCGGTTTCCCAGGGCCCTAAATATTCAGAGGGTTTCCTTCCCTCCACCCCTGCAATTAACTCATTTAGCAAGGATATCCCACTGAAATTAATGTTTCTGCTCTTTTAGGAAGGAACCAGCCTTCGCAGGTCATCCCCAGAGACCGCGGTCGCCCTGGCAAGAAGGTGATGGGGGAAAAGTAACTTCACCGTCCGTAGGGTGACTTTGTTGTCAGATATCCCCCTGGCACTAAATTTTATCAGCTATGGAAGATCCTAATTAACCCAACATGGTGGGATGCTTCTGCACAACTTCTTGTTTTACCTCTGGCCGTTTATATTTTCCTGTGACTTTTCATGGATTTAGAGACTCAAATCATGTTTTACAGTAGGTTTTTTGCCATAGCTTAACAGGATAACATCTGGTCAACGCTGTCTTGGCTAAGCCAGGAAAGGTATCCAGCCTGCATGGACAGGGCAACATTCGCCTGTTCCACTGCCTTTTTTCGTGACTACAACAGTTCATCTCAGGGTGCATTCTGCCTCCCCGGAGGACACGTTGACTTTATTGAAAAAGTTGAATCATTCAGTTACTCAGACTTTTTCCGGGATTATTTGATTCCCAACCATCCCTGTATTTTCTCAGCTAAATTCACTGAAGACTGGGGCAGCAGGAGAAATTGGGTTACTTGGGATGGAAAGCCTAACTTTGATCATCTGCTGCAGAAGTTTGGTAAGTCATGGCATTTTCAATACCTAATTAAAACATGTGCGCTAAATGACGCTTTTTTTTTTTAATCTTAGGAATAGAACGGCTAGACAAAACCAAGCAATTCTCCAGACTTTTTTCTAAATTAATGTGTTTGTTTTCTATACTTACTCACACTTTATGTTTTGCAGATTCCAATCTCAAATTTATTCCACAATGAAATAAAATAAAGAGTGTTGTATAGTTTAACCATACTAGTCCCTATACATGCTTAACTTTAACCTCAGGAGCAGCCTGACCCTTTCCCCAGGCAGGGGAAAAGTGTTCTGTAATTACAGTGAAATATCTCTTCAGGTTGTGAAATATTAGTATATTTAATTGGAATCAATACCCCACTCCTAATGTAGTTTGAGGGGAAAATTCTGATCACATTAAATAAATAACTTATGGTCTGAATTGTGTTTGCCTAGATTGATGGTGTTGGGAGTGAGTGCTGGGCTAGGGGTTGTTGCTTTTTGTGTTTGCACTGTACTTGGCATTATAAGGCCCAGATATTGGAGGCTGTGCAGGGGATAAGGTTAAGGGAGTTCAGTTTCAGCGTCAGTTATTCTGTCTCCACCCGGGCTCACTGAGTTTATATTTCAGGAGAGGCTGTAGTACCTGTTGCCAACTGTGATGTCAAGGAGTACAATTCTAACCCAAAGGAGCAGCTCCCCTTCAAGGAGTATGTAAATTACTGGAAAGAGTACATTAAAAATGGCTACCGTTCATCCCGAGGGTGCCTTTATCTAAAGGACTGGCACCTGAGCAGGTAAGAGCACCGTGGAAACCCCTGCGTACCATGCACAGCAGAGAGCTGCCATGGAGCCTTAAACTCAACTTTTAATGCCCGAGTGTTTAAATGCCGGCAGTGCTGTTTGTTAGCACCTGCCCACCAAAATATCAGTCTCATGTGGCATGGTTCTTGGTGTGCTTCACACGGCAAGATGTCATTGTTTCCTGAAGAGGCTGACGTTCCTGAGCACTTTCCTTTTCATCTGTGTTTTAAATGACTGTACGTTATCCCTGTGGAAACTGTGTGGCTGTAACATTTGCTTTTGTTTGACTGCACAGTGCAAACCTTATTTCTTAAAAAGAAGGGGGACATTTCTAATTATGTTCAATTGAGCGTGTGAGTTGTAATCCTTTATTATCCATTTTCTGTTAACCTTCCTGGTCGTTAAAGTTCTTTTCACCCTGGTCTGGCTTTCCGGAGAAGGAAAGCCTCCTCCAGCCTGCTGCTTGCGAGGTGGATCATTATCCTTTCCCAATGTCTGTGTAGGACTTTTACGTCTTTTCACTCAAATCTTTTCTTCCTTAAACCTATCCTGCTCTTAATCCAACTTTGTCGTGATCACCTCGTGTGCCAGTGACTTACAATAGAGGAAGTTTGTCAGTCTCTGCCTCCCTGTTTGTCTGCTTTCCCAGACACCGGTGCTGTGGCTTGCTTCAGAAGGTCTGCACGCTGGGAAAGGGGCAGCATATCCTGCGGGAGGGGGTCACACGCTTGTCAAAATCCCTGCTAACCTTCACACCCCCAGCTGGTCATCCAGTTGGACAACCAGTCTTGTAGGCATCTCGTCTGAAGAGAATGCATGTATTAGGAGCTGCCTTTCCAGAATTAGGAGAAGTCTCCCAAATAGCAGTTAACCTTCACAGCTTTCCCAGGAGACAGAAAGGCACTGTTGTGTGCATTTTACATACAACTCGGAGTTGTCAATGACATAAAGGAGATGGCAGCTAAGTATTAATGGCCCACAAGAGAACTGGTTGGTCTCTGTGTCTGGGTTTTGGGAACTGAAGTAGAGGGAGCAATGCTGCATTTTTCTGAGACTGATTTCCAACACGTTATCTCTTCAAGAGCTTTCCCTGAACAAGATGTTTATACAACCCCTGTGTATTTCTCATCCGACTGGCTGAATGAATACTGGGATGCTATAGCTGTGGACGATTACCGGTTTGTCTACATGGGACCTAAAGGTTCATGGTAAGGCAGTGTGGTTTCTGTCATTCTTGTGTACTCATTTTTAAGATTTAGTATTACAGGGGCTTATCACGTTGTCCTTCAGAATAGCATCATGCTGCAGAGGCAGTGTGTGGCCATACTAGTACAGTGTTGTACCTGAACCCAGCCAGTCTTGTTTCTCAAGCAGCTCATGTGAGATGTGAGCTGCCCTTACGCAGTCAGCTAAAGTGCTTTCATGCTTCAAAAAGCCCTGTATTGCACATACAAAATCTGCAAAAGTTGTCAGCTAGCTTATGTAAAGTTTTAGAGCAGAAACTGCCTGGGGATCATCAGCCACTTGTTATTTGCAGAGTCAACAGAAGCCTTGGAGGGGCGCTGATGAGTCAGTCAAATATTTTGCAGGTGAAAAACTAAGGCCAGCATTGGTGATAAAGTTGCATTTACAGCATTCTCATCAGTTCACATCACGGCATCTCCTGTCATTGAGGTATCTGTGGGACAGATTCAAAACTAACTAATGGAGAAGCACAGAGGCTATAAAATACTGCAATACTGTGTAGATATAGTGGCCTTCTAATACTTAAACCAGTCAAAATTAAATGAAAGGGATGACAGTTCTGGATCAGTTTTGATTTGCATAGTAAAGATTGATTTCTGTGTGTATATGTCTGATTCTCACAGACTTTAATTCATATTACAGCTTTTAGGCATTGTGTTTACTTAAATGTCTGCTTTGCCCCACAGGACTCCATTCCATGCTGATGTCTTTCGTTCCTATAGCTGGTCAGCCAATATATGTGGGAGAAAGAAATGGCTGTTGTACCCTGCGGGTCAGGAGGAGTTCCTGAAGGACCGCCATGGCAACTTGCCCTTCGACGTGACTGCACCTAGTCTTCAGGACAGGAGTGTTTACCCTCGCTACAACCAAAGTCAACCCCCTGTTGAAATTGTGCAGGAAGCAGGGGAGATAGTCTTCATCCCCAGTGGATGGCATCATCAAGTTTACAATCTGGTAAGATAACTGATACCAGCCTTTTCATAACGTAGAGAGATAATCAGGCAGCAGGCTTGAATCAGATCAAACTTTTATTGCCACAGCATGTTGTGAGTGCCAAAAGTCTTAGCTGGGCTGCAAAAAAAGTTTAGAGAGATTCACGGAGGAAAGGTCTATCAGCGTCTGCTCAAGACGATGGCTAAAAGCAAGCCCGAACTCACAAGTTCCTTATGTCGTTGCTGGGAGAGCGTGCAGCTGAAGAAGCTGTCTGCACCCTCTTTTCTTACGCTTTTCCTCATTAGGTGCTACTAGTCACTGAGAAATAGGATGCTAGGTGAAATGGACTTAATGCGAGGCTGTTAAATTACAATTTGCAGTTAGAAACCAAGATTAATAATGGAAAATGCTAACAAATTGGTCTTCGTGATTACAAACCAAAATTAACAACCTTGTTCCTTTCTCCCCACCACCTTCTCGGACCTTTGTGCCCTTAAAACGTTCCTCAGACAGAGGAACTGGAGACATTTGCCAGTTTACAGAGTGAAATAAGATTTGATTGTTCAGTGACATTAGAAAGAGACAGCCTTTCAGCATAGTGGTGGTAGTGGTGCCAAAGAAGCATTGTCCATGCTGAGGAATATGATTTTACAGCATCGGTGTTGTTACAGCTGTTTTCTTGCACTTTCCTACGTCAAGTTTAGTAATAATTTAAATTATTCCTTCAGGAGGATACCATTTCCATTAACCACAACTGGGTGAATGGCTGCAACGTGGCTATAATGTGGTGCTTCCTGCAGGATGAATTAGCAGCTGTCCAGCGGGAAATCAATGAATGGAAGGACCCTATGGATGATTGGCACCTACAATGCCAGGTAGAACAACATGATGCTGGCTGCTCAACTGTCTATTAGAGGATGATATATTTCCGGGGTGCACTGCACCACCTTATGAGTTCTAAGACACGCAAGTCCTTAACCTCATACCTGGAGTTAGTACGTGTGTCATACAGATAGTAGGAATTGGTGACAGGTTCATTTTGCAGGAACTCAAATACTACTTTAGTAAGATAGGAAAAGGCTGGTGCCAGTATGTATTATTTGCCATGTCAAGGAGATTAGGATGTTGTCTAAAACACTAATGTTTCTTGTGCTTTTCTTCAATTGTCAAGGTTAGTATTAGCATCAAGATCAACCCTTGTGGTGGGTTGACCCTGGCTGAGG